GATAGGGAATGGCAAGGGACACACTGACAAAGGAGATTAATCAGAACTGGCTTTGACAAGTACTGTGGCAATTGGACAATTAAAACAGACATTGGGGGGGGAAGAAGAACGAACTGGGCATGAGGGTGGAGAAAACAGTGCAAAAATGAATGAATGAAAACCCTAAATCTCTGTAAATGTTCATGAAAACTAATAAAATTTAATTTTAAAAAAATTACTGGAATAGAACATCAAAAGAGAAACGTCAGAAGTGCAGGCTGGATCTAGAAGGGGTTGTGGTAGTAGGGATATTATAGCTAATGTCAGGTGGCTCTTGGCTGAAAACAGAGTGTAGCAGAGGAATGTCTATTTGTGCTTCATTGACTATGCAAAGGTATTTGACTGTGTTGACTACAATCCACTATGGCTAACTCTGAGAAGAATAGGAATCCCAGAACACTTGATTGTGCTTATGTGAAATCAATACTGAGACCAGGAGGCAGTCTTCAGAATAGCGTAAGTAAACACTGCATGGTTCAACCTTAGGAAGGGTATATGCCAGGGATGTGTGCCATCTCCACAGCTTTTCAATCTATATGCAGAACACATCATCCAGGAGGCTTGCTGTATGAGAACGAATGTGACATCATAATTGGAGGAAGACTCATCAACAATCTGCATTACACAGATTACACAGCCTTGGACACCACGAAGGACCTGAAGCACTTGTTGGAAAAGGTCAAGGACTGCAACCTTCAATATGGATTGAAACTCAACATCACAAAAACAAAGATTCTCACCACTGGGCTGATTGGCAGCATCAGTATAGATGGTGAAGAGATTAGAGTGTTAACAATTACAGTTTGCTCGGCTCCATAGTCAATCTCTAACACACTTGAGATTATTGTTGTAGTCTCTGTTTCAGTCCACCTGATTGAGGTCCTTCCTTTCCTTCACCGTTTCCCTACTTTTCCAAGCATAATGTCCAAAGAATAACCTCTTCTAACAACATGCTAAAAGTATGTGAAATTGAACTTTACCATCGGTACCTCCAGGAAGCACTGACTGCAACTTCTCTAAGAAATACCTACTTTTTTTTTTTGGACAGTACATTGCATATTCAAAGGCATCAGTACTACTTCTGTCATCCTTATTCATTGTGTAGCTTTCAGATGAATAGTAAGTGACTGAAAAGACCATGGACTGAGGCAAATGCACCTTAGACTTCAAATTGACATCATTGCTCCTCAGTAATTTGAAGTCCCTAACTACAGACTTTCCTGGTGCAATACGGTGGCGTCTGGCCTTCTGACTGCTAGTACCAAGTGTATTTGTTGATTGTGGATTCAAGTAAGATAAGGTGGTTGACAGTTTCAGTCTTCTCTCTATCTGTTATAAAGCTGCATATCTATTCATCTGATCTGCATCTGGTTATCTATCTGGTTTGTGGTCTCTAGACTTGAACTCGTGGCTTGCCATAAATGCAAACTTTGGACTTTCCACTTTACCATCCGCTACACTTTTGTCAGAGGATGCTTTTTGGACATATCAGCCTCTACAGCTGGTGGTTTCTGATGTTATCTGTCCGCGACCATGCTTCCCAACAACGACCTTTGAACATGTTATCCCTCCAAATCCAGCAGCCTGAGGTCTTGCCTGCCTGCTGGCATTTTACTTGGAATCAGCCTCCCCAGAGACCTTTACAAGACATGAGCCATTTCCTTAAAATAAATCTCTGTCACTTTCTAGATTTATATACATATAGATATGCTTCATTGGTTTTGGCTTTCTAAAAACCAAACGGGCTTCACTGGCTTCTTTAGAAAACCCAGCTTAAAACAGTTGGAAAATGTAAGCATTATAATCTGAGAAGAAAATGATTTCTGTGTTCTATTCAGCTTTGCCTAACTGCTTGAATATTCATTGAATGGTTTCATGAATTTGAGAATGAATGAGTATAGAAATCAATTACTTAATTCAGCAATGAAAAAAACAGTAATAGCTGATTCAGGATCTTGTCAACTTAAATTTTAGGATTACTGAGAAATAATAAAGACATTTTCTAGAGTGTGCTTACAGTTGCTTTAATTTTATTGTTACATACAGAAGATTTAGAATGGCAAAATTATAATAGACTGCAAACTTCCGACATTAGTGATTATGGTTTACTCATCTTTTATCTTTCTTCCTACACTATTCCTCAAAAAAAAAAAAAAAAATAAGGCAGCTGTCATTTAAAAAACATAAAAACCTCCTACTCTATGCCAGGTACTTTTTATTTATTTCATTTAGCCTTCACGGAAAAGAGTTCTGATGGCATAGTCTTTAGCTGGACCGCTTTGTTGTGCTTCTAACCAAAATGTTCCTCCTCTCAGGTAGTTAAGATCCAACGGCAGGTGACTGGGGAGAAGGATGGACAATCGTTTCCAATTAATATTTATAGGCTGAGAAAACTGATAGAGTGTTATTATGAGATGGAATTGACTCAAAGGCAACCAGTTTGAGTTTTAGTCTTCACAAGATCTTGCAGAATTAGAATGTTACTGAAGTAAGTAGATATGAGTTTGGAACTTTACATATTTCATCACCAGTTTGCTAAATCAGAATCTAGTTTCATCCAGATCCAAAAATGATGAGGTCCTAGGAAACATATTCCCTTCAAGCCTCATAAACACTTCAAACCAGAATGGTCCTTCATTAATTTACTATGAGGAACATTGCTGTTGATTAGGTAATGGTTGAATTAACAGATCAGTGAAAATTCTCCTGGTAAGAAAATCACAGAGGGAACTCAATTTTAGTCAAAACTACCAGTTAATTTACTTTATTCCTCAAAGCATTCCACATTAATGATCTGTAAAATATTCTGCTGGAATTCTGAAAGAAATGTGAAAATTCTTCTTGAAGGGAGGGGGTATAGGACTTGAGTGTTCTATGGCCTGGAGACAATTACCAATGGAGATAGCTCATTTAAACGACTAGTGCTTTTCCAACTCAGAACCAAGACTTCATCTCACAGTACACTGCCACCTTTGTTTTCAGTTTCCTTATTATTATGTGGTTGTGGAGATTGTGTTTTCTGTGGTTTCAGAATTTTGTCTTGGTTGTTAGTTGCCAGAGACAGCTCTGGCTCCCAATGACTTTATGTATCAGATAATTAAATGTTACTCAGTGTTACATCATTGTCATGATCATTGATATATTTAAGCCAGTTGTTACATCCATTGTGTCAATCCATCCCATGTAGGGTTCTCACATTTTCCCCCTACTACCTACTACTTTAAACATGATGTCCTTCTCCAAGTTTGGCCTTTCCTGATGATATATATAATCAAGATGAATTTTCACCATCCTTGTTTCTAATGACAGCATTCTTACTGTACTTCATCTAAGACATTTTTGCTCATCTTGTTAGCAGCCCACAGAAAATTCAATGGATGTCACACCACCACAGTTAAATGAGTCAATTCTTCTTTGATCCTTTTTTCATTGTCTACATTTTAAATGTATACAACTCACTCACACAAAAAATCATGCAAAACTCAACTGCTGTTGAGTTGGTGTAGCCACCCTCCATTAGATTTTAGAGGCTGTCAACTTCATGAGAAGAAAGGGTCCATCTTTCTTCTGTCAAATTTCTGGTGGTTTTGAGCATCCAGAGACTGTATCCTTCGTGTTAGCATGGCAGCTCACTACAGAATATGCCACCGGAGCTCCCTAGACGCATATGAAGCAATTGAAAAGACCATGATTTGTGTCAGATGCACTTAAGTCATCACAGTACTTCAATTAGATAATTTAAAGTAATTTCTTTTTACCCCCAAAACACAGTTAATAATTTTCCCCTCAAGATTGCTATGACAATTAGACAAAATCAAATTGAAAATATGAACTAAAATATATGAAATACTTACCGTGTTCCAGGCAAAATGCCTTGCATATCACATACCTAGATTGTCTTGTTTATACTTAATCACGTATTCTTTCACCATATGCCATCCTTCCCTTACAGTGAAATGTATTTCTCTAGCTTATTCACATTGCTTAAGATTTGAGCAAAAGGATGTATGTATCAAAGTAGAAAGCATAAGCAAACTTTTGTGTTTAAATTCTGCCTTCTTGAGCTTCTGCCCTCTTCTAAACTCCTAATTCAGTCTGGCACTTAACATAAGGTAAATGCAGAGAAAAGCAGTGGAGAGCCATAGCCAACAACTCAAGTCTTCACTGTTTTTCTTGTTAGACCCAACCTAAAGCTGAGCTTCTAGCAGGTTTTCAGAAGCGGTTAATCAGACAGGAGATTGCTCATTATTTTTCTTCTGTGGAGCACCTGATGAATTTGAACCATAAGCCTTTTGGCAAGGGCCACCAGATCTCTCTGCAAGTTCTCATAAAATCTAGTTAATAGGGCGGTGACTGTGCATCGATGTCAGCGCGGGCTGCACCGCCGCGTCCGCCCGCCTTCTAGCATGGCCACCACCGCCACCTGCACCCGCTTCACCGACGACTATCAGCTCTTCGAGGAGCTCGGCAAGGGTGTTTTCTCTGTGGTCCGCAGGTATGTGAAGAAAACCTTCACGCAAGGGTGTGCTGCAAAAATCATCTATACCAAGAAGTTGTCTGCCCGGGATCACCAGAAACTAGAACGTGAAGCTCGAATATGCCGACTTTTGAAGCATCCAAATATTGTGCGCCTCCATGACAGTATTTCTGAAGAAGGGTTTCACTACCTCGTGTTTGACCTTGTTACTGCCGGAGAACTGTTTGAAGACATCGTGGCCAGAGAGTACTACAGTGAAGCTGATGCCAGTCACTGTATACATCAGATTCTGGAGAGTGTTAACCATATCCACCAGCATGACATTGTCCACAGAGACCTGAAGCCTGAGAACCTGCTACTGGCAAGTAAATGCAAGGGCGCTGCTGTCAAGCTGGCAGATTTTGGCCTAGCCATCGAAGTGCAGGGAGAACAGCAGGCTTGGTTTGGTTTTGCTGGCACCCCAGGTTACTTGTCCCCTGAGGTCTTGAGGAAAGATCCTTATGGAAAGCCTGTGGACATATGGGCCTGCGGGGTCATCCTGTATATCCTCCTGGTGGGATACCCTCCCTTCTGGGACGAGGATCAGCACAAGCTGTATCAGCAGATCAAGGCTGGAGCCTATGATTTTCCATCACCAGAGTGGGACACGGTAACTCCTGAGGCCAAGAACTTGATCAACCAGATGCTGACCATCAACCCAGCAAAGCACATCACAGCTGACCAGGCTCTCAAGCACCCATGGGTCTGCCAACGATCCATTGTGGCGTCTATGATGCATCGGCAGGAGACTGTAGAATGCTTGCTCAAGTTCAATGCCCGAAGAAACCTGAAGGGTGCCATCCTCACCATCATGCTTGTCTCCAGGAATTTCTCAGCTGCCAAAAGCCTATTGAACAAGAAGTCAGATGGCGGTGTCAAGCCACAGAGCAACAACAAAAACAGTCTCGTAAACCCAGCCCAAGAGCCCGCGCCCTTGCAGACGGCCATGGAGCCGCAAACCACTGTGGTGCACAATGCTACAGACGGGATAAAGGGTTCCACAGAGAGCTGCAATACCACCACCGAAGATGAGGACCTTAAAGCTGCCCCGCTCCGCACTGGGAATGGCAGCTCGGTGCCTGAAGGACGGAGCACCCGGGACAGAACAGCCCCCTCTGCAGGCATGCAGCCCCAGC